CTACGTAGATCCCACCCTACATTAAGACTGATAATAGGTGGGTTCCGATTTCCCCCTAAAGATGTTGTCCATGATGTTGGTCACATCACCCATCCCAGCCCCAGGGATGCCCCAGCAGCTCTGGCTGTCCTTGATGTAAAATGCCGGGTCCGTGTACTTAGCACGAGAGTCTCCCCAACGTTTGGAATATTCGTATGTTTATGGACGGGTTTTGCCGTAGTATCCACATTTCTTATCAATTTTCGTTATCTTAATCCTCAGGTTTTTATTACTGGTAAAGTTGTTCTTCTTGTTTACCGTCTCATTCACCTGCAGATGATCTTGGACGTTGTCATTCTTCTACTTGAGAAGCTGTTCTTGCTCCTTCGCCAAGTCTAGTTCTACTTCTAACTCAGAGTTTCTTGGTTTTCCTGATCGAGAACATTGCTCCGATAAGCCTAACACCAGGCAAGCATGAAAGCACATGTAACACATCTTTTGTTGGTGTTCTACACACTTGCTGAACATCTCCAACTCGTCCAAAAACTTTGGCCACATCTTAACAGGATCTGCAATTGCAATTACCTTAATACCATTTAGAGAAATTATAAACATTGCAATAATATCAACAACAGAGGCGAACCTCTGACGCATCAACACGATATCCATCCATCACCGCCAAGAACGCACATCCCTTCTATCTCCAAGAACCAACATGGAAGCCTATCCATCAACACGCCAGGGTGACGCGTCTCCCAACATCACCAATCATGCAATCATTGCATAAGGGGAAACCTTCACACAAACTGCACGTATCACAAATAACAGGAAGTGGTTGAGGCAATTCAAACCTAAAGTAAGGACCTGAATCTCCCTTCCGGCAAGCACATATACAAAAGAACGTATAGGCAAAACAGACAAACACATAAACACAAGCGGGACCCAAAAATTGAAGTCAGTCACTACAAAAAATACAACATTTCCCCATCATCCTGGCAGGAGGTTCAAGGTCTTACTGCCTTGGCTTGATACAATATTTTTTTTTTTTTTTTTGGTGCGTGTCCGCAAACCTCTACACGGTGTGACAGCTTTAATTGTTGCCTCCTGACAGCCGGCAGCAGTGTGTGTGTGTGTGTGTGTGTGTGTGAGTGTGTTGGAAGAGAATTGGTTATTCGCACATTTTGCTGTGAATTCCTGCAGCTCTTCCACGGACATTTTCTTGGGAATACTTCCGCGGGCTCTGTGGGTAGTTACTTGGGAGTTCCACCGCTGCCTTCACTACCGTTTTCCTGAGAATTATTTCCTTTCTTCTATGGGCTTTTCTCTTAGGAATTCTTCACCCATTCTCTGTGGGATTTTGTCCTTGGAAGTTTCATCGATTCTTTCATGGTTATTTTCATGCAAGTTCCACAATCTCTCCAAGCACTTAGGCTGGACGGAAGAGCGACGGTTTCGCATCATGCAGGTCGGCGTTCAATCCCCGATTGTCCAAGTGGATAGCCACCATTCCTTCCCTCTGTCGCATCCCAAAACCTTATCCTGGCCCCCCCCCCTTCCACGTGCTCTATAGTCGTAATGGCTTGGCGCTTTTCCCTGACAGTTCCCATCCACCATCTCTTTCTTTCGCATTTTCTAGAGATTTCCTCCACCTTCTCCAAGGGCACCATCTTGGTACTCCTGCCCCCCCCCCCCCCCTCCAGGGGCGTTCTGAGAGTCTGAGTGCCATATTATAATTAAATATTCCCATGTGGAAAGAATAATAAATTCACGATAACGGCTTAAATAAATAATAACGTGAAATACATATTCTTTGCTTAAAACTCTGTGTAGCATTTTAGACTACAATGAAACATAATAATTCCACGTTCATTCTCACTGTTAAGAGCATAAGCTTGTTTTTGTTAGGGTTGTGAAGCCTAATACACATTCTAATTGTTTTGTGCTCTGAATTATATGTCATTCTTTTTATCTTAGTCCTTTTGTCTCTCTCTCTCTCTCTCTCTTCCTCATCTCTCGCTCTCTCTTCCTTACCTCTCTCTCTCTCTCTCTCTCTCTCTCTCTCTCTCTCTCTCTCTCTCTCTCTCTCTCTCTCTCTCTCTCTCTCTCTCTCTCTCTCTCTCTCTCTCTCTCTCTCTCTCTCTCTCTTTCTCTCTCTCTCTTTATGCTCCAGTTTCCCTCCCATTTTTGCCTAGTTTCTTTTCCATTGTATTTTCATCCTCTTCTTGCCTCTTCTTACTTATCATGTCGGCTCTACTTCTTTTTGTTTTGCCTTTTCTTTCCCTTTCTCTTTGCTTGGCTGCCTCCTCCTCCTCCTCCTGTGCTCTACCTGCTGCCTCCTCCTCCTCCTCCTCCTGTGCTCTACCTGCTGCCTCCTCCTCCTCCTCCTCCTGTGCTCTACCTGCTGCCTCCTCCTCCTCCTCCTGTGCTCTACCTGCTGCCTCCTCCTCCTCCTCCTGTGCTCTACCTGCTGCCTCCTCCTCCTCCTCCTGTGCTCAACCTGCTGCCTCCTCCTCCTCCTCCTGTGCTCTACCTGCTGCCTCCTCCTCCTCCTCCTGTGCTCTACCTGCTGCCTCCTCCTCCTCCTCCTGTGCTCTACCTGCTGCCTCCTCCTCCTCCTCCTGTGCTCTACCTGCTCCTTCCCTCCTCGTCGTCCTCCTGCCGCTATAGTGGTTGTTTGCCCTCAGATTTAACGCTAACTTTTAACATTGACTGATGGCTTTGGCTTTTGATCCTAACTTTTGTCTCTAATGTTTGACTGTCAGCGTCTATTTTTGGCCTTTTGATTCTGGTTGTGGTAGAGTATGTGATTCTGACTGATTACGTTTGACTGTGTGGATGTGACTAAGTTTGACTGTGACTAAGTTTGACTGTGACTAAATTTGACTGACTAAGTTTGACTGTGTGGATGTGACTAAGTTTGACTGTGACTAAGTTTGACTGTGACTAAATTTGACTGATTACGTTTGACTGTGTGGATGTGGCTAAGTTTGACTGTGCCCGCATGCAACTAAGTTTGACTGTGACCGCACGAAACTAAGTTTGACTGTGACCGCATGTAGCTAAGTTTGA